CACTTAATGCGCTGTTATTCAAAGTTCTTCATTTTAAATGCAAATTCACAATTAAAGTTTCAAACTCAACTTAAGCAAAATTAAAATTATTTTATCCTAAATCCATTTATTTAGCAGACTTGAGCTATAGTAACATTAATAGACAGTTACAACACATGAATAACATTCTCTGTGCCTGATTGATTGAGAGCTAAAGTTTACTAAAAAGAAACTAAACTAATATTTGCCTCATAGACTTAACGCAAACTCATCAACAAGATTACTTCATCTAGTGGAATCTCAAAAAAGTATGATAACTATACTAGGCATTTCATTAAAAGATCTAAGCTAGCTGATAAATAATTTGTGCAACTTTGGCATAGTTGTGTCTCTTGGTTGGGGAGAGGGTTAAATGTATTAAATAATCTATTAAATTGGAGCCATATTGCTGCCATTTCAACAATGAAACTCCTTCAACAGATAATGTTTATAAACTTTCGATTCTTAATTAAATGGGCCAATTTGTAATCATGTATATAAAGATAAAATTAAATGTCACACATCCCTAATAAAATTGAAATAACAATGCAAAGTTAGACTGCAACTGAAAATCTTCCATCACTTAGGAGAAAAGCAAGATCTGGGGGGGACTTTTTCAAGTATTGTTTCTGTCATTGTTATCATTCTCAATTTTGTCTAATTTTAAAGCTGCTTATTGTAACTAACCCCCTTGGCAGAATCGTGGCGACATTGTCGCAGAATGTTACTAAGTTCTTGCAGAAAGATTTCTCATTTGGGAAGTGAGAAATTCTTTTCTCTGCAGAAATTTTCGGAAGATTTTATCTTTCCTTTTCCTAATTATATTCAAAGGATGCCTTTCTCGTGCATTGAAGAGGGGGAAAAAATGCTTGTTATTTTTCTATTCTCATTTGAAAACCACAAAAAAATAATAATAATAATGAAAACATGGTTTTCTTTTCTGCAGAAATTTTTGTTCTATTTTTTTTCTTTGCAGCTATTACTAATAATTTCCACTCAGTTTTTAAAATTCGAAATTTTTTATTACAGCAACTGAACTTCAAAATTGAAGCACGCATTTCGGAAACCTTTTTTGAGGTGGTCTATTTGCGTGATTTCGTCATCGATCATTTTTTTCGGTAGTTACTGCTACGGACTTCACTATTTTTAAGTTTGATTATGATTTACAAAAAAAAATTACTATGTTTTTCCCCTACAAAATTCGAGAAAACGCTCATAATATTAGAATAAAAAAAATATTCCAAATTCAATTTAAAAAATTACATTACTATTATTTTTATTATTGTTATTTATTATTTTTGAAGTTGACACTTCTGTTACTTTAAATTAATAACAAGTATATTTGTTTTTATTATAAGTATCTTGCAGAAAGATATATATGCTAGAGAGGGTTGTCGCACAAAGCCCGAAAAAATTCTGCCAGAGGATAACTCACGGACGATGATAGGTATAGGAACTTTTAACTTGATAACTTAAACAACTGTGATTAATAATAGTACCAATTATTGTTTTTTCAACAATTGCTTTTTTACTTAGGTTTTAATTAAATAACTTTTCCATTATTATAAATGAACATGATTTTTAATTAGGTACATAGGCCATAAGAATGAGAGGATAGGAAGCTGCCTCAATGACACAGATTCCCTCGTAGTTTCTGGATCTGAAGATGGTTGTGTTTACATGTGGGACCTAATTGAAGTCAGTCAGTATTATTTTGTTTTTTTTTAAAGACAACTTTTTATTAAAAAACATGACTAAAATTATATCTATCAACAGTTCCAAAAATGACCAACAATTTGAAAAGCGAATTGAAATAATATGCATGTAGAATTGCTGCAGTCCACTTTTAAAAAAACGCAGTGTTTGTTCTCAACAAATTCAAAATTAGTTTCAAAATTTATCAGCTGATGATTGTTAAAACTGTCAAACAATAATTTCTACTACATGTCAGGTCATTCTGTTAATTTTGTCCTCAGACTGTAACTGCAAAGAGGGGTTATTTGAAGAACATTGTCTTATAATTTTTCTCAATCGCAATATCATGTGGAAAAAAAATCCTGTCACTTGTTGACAAAACTGTTTTTTCATGCAAAATGTACATTTATCTCTTTTGATTTTTTTTTCCTGTTTAAAAGTTCACAGTCTTCTTTGAGCCCCTCAGTATTAACACAGTGCATATTTGTGAGATTATACTTTAAATTTTTTTTAAATCATAAAACAGATATAATTGAAAATTATAATATTTTACTGCTGTACAAATATTTTTTAAATGGGTGGAAATCATTAATATTTTAGTCGTCACTATTTTTTTTTTTTGCTACTTTAACTTTCTATTTATCTCACATGTGATGTAGCCTTTTTCGAAATTACGTCGTCTCTGTTTCGTTATCTCTGCCAAAAATTATACAAAGAATGTTCCTACAATGTAAGTGATATCATAAACAAAAGAGCATTAAAATAGCCTTAGCGGATGGATGAGGCAGTGTTTTCACTACAGCGCGAAAGTCTCGCATTTTTTTTATTTTCTCGCCTTAAAAATGTTGGGAAAATGCAAACAAATAGATGGGCAGTATTTTCCTCTCGGCTGTGTCACTTCCTGTGGGAAGTTGGGTCACTTCCTGTTATCTCAGCTAGAAGGAAGTGGGTGTTTCTGTGTTTAGTCAGTTATATCTTTGCTTTGAATAGAAGATGTTTCTTCTCTTATGCTATGTTTAGAGAGAGCTATGTGATGTTAAAGAGTTATGTTTAGTTTAATTGAATGTAGTTTTTCTTACTTTATATTTAAAGATTTATATTCAATAAATATAGTTGTACCTTTTCCATGAAGTGAATTCTTGAGTAGTAATAGATGTCTTCAATATCTTATACTTAGTAAGCTGGCCCCTATTTTTCAACAAAAAAATTATTACCGCCCAAAATTCGCTCACTCTATTAATCAATTTCAAAATGCGCAAATCTAGTGCATTTTGGGGAAAGTTTTGTCACGTGACATTTTTGAATAAAATCCGTTTCACTTTTCTACCTTGATCTTTCATTATTTTCAACATATGTGATTCAGAATAGTTCAGCATCTGTTGAAGGTCTTTTGGCACCCAAAACCGAATTAAGACAAAATATCGTAACAGATTGACTGATAAGCATTTGAGCAACCTAATGAGAATAGCTGATGAAAAAGTAGATATAGAACATTTTCCATATGATGATGCAACAAAAATATTCAATTTTTAAAAAAATAGAAGATGTTAAATATTATAATTAAAGAAATAATTTTTATCTATTTGTGTTTTTCTATTTGTATTGTAATCGATTTGTGTTTTTTTTAATTTTTAGAAATCTCACCATGTTTTTGAAGAAGCGTGAGAAATTCTCTCCCATTTTTTTTCTATAATGAAAACACTGGATGAGGTATGTTTCCATTCAGCACATGCGACGTCATAATCACTCAGAAATTGTTTTTTATTGTACCAACTATCGAGGTCTTTTTGGGCAATTTAAATGTTTAATAATTAAATAAATACAAATTTGATGGAGAAAATCAATCAGATATTCATGTCTTTGATAAATTTTTAGCAAGATGTGCTTCTTAAATTATCATAAATGTAATAATGTGGTTTATTTTAAATTATTAAAGTTAATTAAATCCTTAGAGAAAAACTTCAAACAAAGTATATTTTCAACTAGTCATTTTTAAGATGAAATTGTTAGGCAGAAAAACACTATTACAATTTGTAATTTTAGAAAACAATTCTTAAAAAGAGAGAGAGAGAGAGAAAGAAAGATTATAATGCCTGGAGAAATAAACTTTACTGTTTACTAGTTAAGCTAATGTTAGCATTTTGAAAGTTCTCTTAGTATGCATGTGAATTTGGTCTATATGTTGACAGACATTTATACTTTTCATAAACTAACTATAATTCATCAGTTTAGGTTATGTCAATGCTATAAAGTTCAATGAAGAATCTACAGTTATACTATCTGCTTCAGTTGATAATACTGTTTGTGGTTGGGATTGTAGTAGCAAGTCTCGCGAGCCTATTCAGGTGATTTATCTTATTTTTATTGTTGATTTTTAAATGGACAAATTAATAAGATAATTAATTTAAATGCTATTTATCTTGCTTTCAGTTTCCTTTTCTTTATTATTTTTATTACATTTTCTTAAATCCATTAAATTAATTTTTTTAAAAGCTTTTTAAATTTATTTTGTTTTTCAGTTATTTTAAATTTTACATGATGTGAAAGATTCTAGTATGTCATTGTCTGTGTCAGAGCATCAAATATTTTAATTTACTACATTTTTATTTATTTTGTAAAAGTAATTGCTTCTTGCATTTTAACATAACTTTATTTAATATATTAAACTGTAATTTGTTGAGCTTTTTTTAAATGAATTTTGTTTAATTAAGTCTGGTTTTAAATTTTAGGTTTCATATGATATGAAAGGTTGTATGACATCTTTGTCAATATCAAAGCTAAAAACACTTTAATTTACATATTTCTTTTAGAAGAAAAAAAAAGTTCTTATATTATAACATAGTTTTATTCACTATATTAAAGAAGTCTAAGAGGTTTTTAAAAAAAAATTAATTTTGAAATAAGTTTTTTTAATTGAGTATGATTTTTAATTTTAGGTTTGACATGATACAAAATATTCTACGATTCCTAAGTCTGTATCAGAAAGTGAAATAATACTTTTTGAAAATCTTTCTTCTGCAAAACTATTTACTCATAACATTTTAATGTATAATTACTTTTCATGGTATAGGTAAATGGGTAAAACTTTTAAATTGTTTATTTCTAATATGGAAAAGATTTTAATAAACATTATAATATTAAACCTATGAAAGATTTTTTCTCCCTTAAGAATTATGATGTATATAAGCTTCAAGATCTTTATACTAACGTTTCGTCAAGATCTTTATACTAACGTTGTCACTTCAAAATTCTTTAGTTCGATCTTGTACAGAAAAAGAAATCTAAAATTTTTTACTTTCTAAAGGAAAAATCTTTCTACAATAAAGTCTGTAATGTTCTGTGACAATATCGCCGTGATTCTGGCAAGCAATTACTATCTAGAAGAGTTTAACTTGGGTTTCACCATTTTGATAAAACATTAATTGAAATCAGAGGGAAAAACATGTGTATCACAATTTCATTCCTCATTAAGATGAGCGATTTTATTTCTCCTCTACTCCAGTTAAACCAGCAGTTTCCAGTTAAATTAGCAAGCAGACACAAGCTGACATAATAAAAAGAATTTATGTTCTACCATGTTCTGCCCCCTCCTCACACCCCATTCACAATGAATGAATTGAAAAACAGGTGCAGTTTTAACACTTGACCTTTTGAGTCATTATTCCCATTTCTTTGGCTGTCAAGGGGAAACAGCAGAAATGACAGATATTTTTTAAAAAAATAAGAAAAAAGTAAGAAATAACAGGAAAAAAAGAAGGGGTACAGGGATAATAGGAGTTCTGCAGTCCCTGTAGGGCATACTTTAAGAGATTTCCAAGAATCAAAGAAGACAAAAAAAATTATTTATTTTAACTCTTCTGGACAAAGTAATCAACAGACATATTCTTACTGTGAGAAGCTGGCAGTAATGACTCTCCCTGCTTAAAGGCCAGATGATAAGAAAACAGATGTTCAATAAGTCACCCCTTCTCACAGAGCTATGATTGAGAAGAAAC